TTCAAGAAATAAATATACAAATAAAAAACAATATGACAGATGATGACACATTTATAATTTGAATAAGGTTTATTAGCAAGTAGGTTTACACATAAATGTAAAATGAATTGAATTGCGTTATAATGGTACATACTGTACATAAACACAATGGGACATACATAAGAGGTATTAGGTTGTAAAGAAAAGGAGAACATATAAAACTAAATAACTAACTGGTTTTAAATGTTGCATTTTCTTTTAGAGAGAGCAGGAAATTGCCAGACGACAAGCCGCAAAGGACAAGAAGCAGAAAGAGAGAGAAGAGAGGCTGAAAGAATCCAAGCAGCCAGACTTAGAACCAGAGGAAGATGAAGAGGAGGTGGCAGAAGAGCTGCCCTCCATCTTCATCCCTAAGCCTCCAAGTCCTCTCTACTGCGGCTTCTACTCATCGCCTGGCCACTTCTGGCTCTCCATGGTACACAATTAAAAGAAACTGAAGATCAACATTACATTTAAAGGGGACCTGTGATGCAAAATGCACTTTTTGATGTCTTTTATACATAAACATGTGTCCCCGGTGTGTCAGGGAACTCACGCAGCGTCAGAAAATAAAACCCTCTCTCTTTTCCTCCGTACCCAAATCTCTAAAAACGGGGAACAACGGAGCTGATCCAGATTTGCGTCCGATATGACGTAATATCTGAAATGTGGACCCACGGCCCAATCAGAAACGTTGCTATCAGAAACAATGCCCGACTGTTTTGGACGTAATATGGTCGGTGTTTACATTAGCATCGCTAACACTCAGAGCTAACCTGTACTGGAGAGCATGTGTGTGAAGAAGCAGGAAGTAAAAAGGAACTCACCTTGTGGTATAACCGGCAAGAGAGAAAGCGTTTGAGCTCCAGACTGTTTCAGAGAGAATCCTTGATAATCCATGATATGGCGTTTCATCACCGCAGTATTTAGTTTAGACAGTAGCTGCCGGGTCCCGCATGAGCTCAGCCCCCTCCTCTTTTATTTTAAAGCTTTATACCCAAAAGCAGCCCTTTTTGAAACAGGAAGTGAAATAGAGGGATATGAGGCATGGCTAGAGTGATCTGTTTGGTATTTTGAGCAAAACACTTCATAGACATATTTTTTATATATTTGTATATATCTGAGACCTACAAATAGCATGATAGGTGACCTTTAAATAATGGGTTGAGAAATGAAAACATGTCCTGTAGACTCTACACAGACTCTAGCTGTGTTTTGGTACAAATACCAAACTGCATATAGTAAAACACAGCTATAGATTAGAAAGTATGACAAAAACAGGTTCACAACCTTCTCTCTTTCCCCTCTCCTGCAGGGGGGCTATGACTCTGGTTTCCTGTATCACTGTCAGTTCTCTGAGGAGCAGGACCAGGACCCTCTGCAGCGGCAGGACGAGCCCTTTGACTTCCTGCCTGTCCTCAACGCAGACGACGACCCCATTCGCTCCTTCACCTTCAGGTATACTGAAGGTCCACTGATCAATATTCTATATTTCAACAATGATTCAAAGACCTAAATGCAACGTGAGAAAGTTGCTAGTAGCTTCCACCTCTTTTGGCCCATAGCTTTATTTATTTTTGCCTGGTTCAGTCCCTTATCACAGCTAGTTTCAGCAGCTAACAACCGCTACGCTCCAGAAATGTGGAACATCCTACCAGGAAATATTAGAGAGGTTAACTCAGTCGACATTTTTAAACGAAAGCTGAAAACCATTTTTTTGAATTAGCTTTTAAATAGCAACTTTGCTCTTCTATTGGTCTTATTTATTTATTTAATTTATTGTATTTATTTATTTAGTCTTATTTCTTAAGTTAACTTATGGATTACTTTATTTATCTATTTTGGCTTCTTGTAATCCATGGAGTCACATGCATCATGAACATATGCTTCATGTATGCTAGTAGCTTTTAACCTTTGACCCTAACCCTGCATTTAAAGTCTGTCTGTCTTGTGTTTTTTGCCAAATTGTTAAAGCACTTTGAGCTGCATCCTGTGTATATAAAATGCTATACAGGGTGTCCGCGGGGTCTTAAAATGTATTAAAAGTTGATAAATCAATTTAGCGAAAATTAAGGCTATTAAAAAGTGTGAAACGGCATTTTCCAAGGTTTTACATTTTGTAGCTTGTTTTCTTGATTTCTTGATTTGACGTCATCTGAACAGGACATCGCACGCTCACTGCTTGATAGCGCACGAAGGTCCGTTTACGCCGGTTGTTAAACAACATCGTTATGGGGAAATGCAAGTCTGCGTCCAAATGGTTTGAAGATAAGGAGGAAGGACAATCAATACTGTATATAGTCAATGTGAGGTGAAGTGTGTCGCCAAGGTAACCGGTTAAAACTCCAAGTGGAGATGAGGTCTTCAAATGTATGGAAAGGGTCTTAAAAAAGGTCTTAAAAGGTATTACATTTGACTTCAGGATTCCTGCATAGACCCTGTATACAAATAAAGATGTATTTGTAATTACTATAGTACCTGTTTAAAGTATTATGTTGGTGTTGTCCAGCTCTGACAGGCAGCTGCTGCTCTGCGGCATGCACTCAGGCTCCATCAGGGTCTACCCTCTGCAGCCCGGAGACCACAGCCTCAGCTCCATGCAGGCCTACTGGGCTCTCAGTGTCCACGACAACCAGTACGGACACCTGCGGCACATCCGCTGTAGCTATGACGACCTCTTGGTGCTGACGGCGGGAGACGACGGGAACTTCTTCTCCTTCAGCCTGCTCCCTCCAGAGGAGCTGAAGAAAGGCATGCAGAGGAAGAAGGCAAAGGTTCCTTCACCCAGGGTCAGTCTACACTTTACTAAGACTTTAAACAGTGTGCTACAGATGATAAAGTCTACTCAATCAATCACATTTGATTTAAATAGCCCAATATCCCACATTTTACATTTGTCTCGGGGGCTTTACAGTGTGTACAGCAAATGACACCCTATGTCCTTAGACCCATGTGCACAAAGAAAAAACTCCCCAGAAAAACCCCACAGCGAATAGAAAATCATTTGTAGAAACACCCAGAACGGGACAGCAATAGATATGGTTTGAATAGACAACATAGACTATATAGACAACATAGACTATATAGACAATCCAAAAGGACAAAAATGGTAATATGAGTATACAAAAGAAATGGTCGGATCCAGGAGGATGTCAAGAATCGTCCAGACACCACTATAAAATAATAAGGTAGGCTTCAGGCAGGACCAGAGCAACAGACACGACTCATGGTCCAGACGTGAAGAGAGGACATGAGTGCATAGAGATAACAAGAGAGAAGTAGGAGAAGAGAGGTGGAAGTCCCACGACAGCGTACGCCTATAGCAGCATAGGGTCTGGTTAAAGGTAAGCCTGATCCAGCCCTAACTATAAGCCTTACCAAAGAGGAAATGTGTCAGTCTGTCCACCAATTTGAATGGATTGCTACGAAATGTATGTTTCTTATTTGTATGAACGCCCAGGTGTTCCCTAGCTTGTGTCAAACATTTGGAAAAGTTGACTTTACACCTTTTTAAAGTTGTCTGTTGACGTCATCACATAGTTCAGATTTGTTGTAAGGGGCAAGAAAACAAACAGTTTATGGTGCAAATGGATTGTTATATAAAAAAGTATAATGTCTTGTTATTCGAACAGGTGGGCCTTGAGAATGAGGCGTTAGCCCAGGATATTGAGGACCCAGCAGCCTGCAGGTGAGTGCGAATTATCTGTTGATCCTTCTTGTTTTCAATGTAGCCTATCTGTATCTTTCTCTGTTTTTCAAAGTCATTCGGACAGTTGACACCGACTGCATTTGGCTCAAGAATGTCATGAAATCACTCATCTAACTTTGTGTTCCCTCCAGCATAGAGTCAGAGAAGCAGAAGCTGGATAAGGACCGTCAGCGGCGAGAGGCGGAGCTTAAGATCGCAGCGAAGCAAAATAAGCTGGCTGAGCTGAATAAGAAGTTTCAACAGCTGCTGATCACCAACCAGCGTCTGCCGGAGCATGTCCGTCTGAAACCTGAGGTACGGACACCCGGATCACTGTCATCTGTATTCTAATGTCCGACCACTGAGTTCTTCAGAATATGTTCCTATTTAAAGACAGATAAGACAATAAGAAAACCAAAAGACATGATACTAGGAAAAAAAAAAAGCTAGGTAAAACATTTAAGGTCCTATTATGGTTTTGTATTTTTCCCTTTCCCTTGTGTGTTATATTATAGGGTTTTGTGCATGTAAATGGTCTGTAAAGGCTACAACCCCTGTGTTCCCTCCAGAAGGAGTTTCTCTCCCACACACTCCCCCCCTGCCTGAGAGTCCTCTGTGGCAGGATTGTCGTCTTGCTTAGCATATCACAATTCAGAATAGGTAGAGAGCAATGGCTCTTTTCCTGTATGCAAGTGGTATGATTCTTAGTATGGAGAGCAACATGACGGGTAAGCCTTAGCTTCAAATCCCTATTATTAAGAATGATCCCAAGCAGAGGTGGGCTAAATGCAAAGGAAGTCACGGTGTGCTGTCGGATAAGCAGCAAGCGGTACAACATGGTGTGACAGGAACTGTAATGTAGACACTGCATAGGAGGCTGTGTCTCATGTGATAGAGATACTGAAATGTATATTGCAGAATATTTTAGAAAGGGACAAACAATGGTAATAACAAATAATATGGGATCAGTCAGGTGTTTTAACTCTTCAAGGAAAGGACTGAGGCCTTTGCTGTTGTTGTTACTCTGTGCAACCTTTCACTGACACACATTTTGAGGTTTTGCAGTTTAGGGGAAATGGGGTTGACATGCATTGCAGAGCCCTTCTACACTCAGCAGCAGATAAGCACTCGAACAAAATGTATTATTTAATATCCAGATTTTCCTTTATTTGAGTTTTTAATACACAAAACCAACTTTATTTGAACATACCACAGGGATTTAACTATATATGAATACCAATATATCAGTAGCAGTGGTCGAGTGGACACAGACTCCTTATATTCTGGTCAGGTTTATAGTTATGTTAAAATGATGACTTTTAGGCAGCTGTAGCGAAGCCGAGACGGTTGTTGGTGCGGTCGTAGATGGAGTAGTACTCTCTGAGGAACACGTCCCCAAAGATCCACAGGAGCTGGCCGTTACGAGAGGGCAGGTATGTGGGGGCGATGTCCACAGAGCAGAACTGCTTTCCATTCTGGTAGCGCTGTAGGAGACAGGAGATGGGAAAGGTAAATGACATTGCTAACAAACAAAATAAAAAGACACACACAAATACATGCTTATTGAGTGCATGCTTGGAGTAACTTACATGAGTGATGTAAGCAGAAGGAGGCAGAGGGAGGGCAACACCGCTAACAACAAAGCTGAGAGTTGGCAGGTTGTTGAGCTGGCTGCAGTCCACCATGTACTGAAGATCAAGACAACAGAGAGATATTAGAATTGCTTTTAGAAATTGCATGGGTATCACACAAGAGATCTGGGGAGGCTGCGTTCTGTGGTTACGGCCCTAAACTATGGAACAGCAAACTCCCGTGAAATGTAAAAGCAAATTCAAAACCTATCTTTTTAATATTGCTTTTAATTTGGGTTAACTTTCAATTCTCACTCATTGTCCATGTTTTACTGTATTCTTTCTGTTTTGCTTTTATTTATTTTTACATTTATACTTTATTAAACATTTTGAAAGACAAAAACATACGGACAAGGACATGGCTCACTCACATCACAAATAGGACTGGACAATAACATGAAGGGCGGGGGGTAGAGGGATTACAGTGTCAGTTACATTTCATGTATTTCATTGTTTAATAGGTAAATAGATAAATAGTCAAATAAATAAATATATATATATACATGCACACATCTCTTCCTATTCTGATTAATTCACCTATTTATCCATTTAATTTCACTTCTTTCATTATTATTACTGTTATTTTTCTGTTTCTTCATAGCTTTATTTATATTTATTTATTAATATTATTAATATTTCTATATCTCTTGTTGGCAGCCGGGATGGTTTGAGTCCAGGAAAGCCCTTATTTTTTTATTTAAAGATATTTAAATGTCTTGTCAGCTTTAATTCACGGGAATGTCATTAGGATCACTGTAGACGTTTTATCTTGTTCTCTAGATAACATTTTAATATTGTTGTTGTGTTTTCTGCTTTGTGCATGAAAGGTGCTATACAAATAAAGTGTATTATTATATTATTATTAGAAGAGACAGAAACTAAAACAAACCGGCCCAATTTATACATGCTTATTTTCCTACTTCTTCAATATGAGAGTGTCTGTTCATTTGTCTTACCATTCCATACTGGCTCTGTTGAGCGCCGATGACCTGCATGATGTGACCAATGAGCTGGCTTGGGGCTGTCAGTGTGGAGGTTCCAGTGTCCACAATGGACTGGCAGCCCTGAGAGCACCAGCCGGTCTCTCTACCATTGATCTCGAATCTGCAAAGCACAACAAAAGTAAACAAAAATGTGCAGTTATTTCGGAACGCACAATAAGCACTGAAGTAATGTAAGTAATTGGAAGATCATTTGATATTTAACATTATTAATGAATGATGAAAAGCACTGACCCTTGAACTCCGATCTGCCAGTAGGTCTCAGAGGTGACGGGGGTCCAGTGGATCTGTCCCTGGTACAGGCTGGTGTCCACTCCTCCGAAAGAGAGCACGCTGCCCTGCTGTCCTCCCCTGAATCACACGGCCAACACTTATCTGAATGCTCACAATGTGGATATGCAGTCATATCTGAGGTGATATCCTCCATGTGATAGTGTATGTTTCACAGTGCTTAATAGAAGTCTTGTGACAGTTATACCTGGAGAGATAGAAAGAAAATAAGTTGGCACTCAGCAGGTTTTGAGAAATCATGTTGTCCATGACGGGAGTCTCTCCTCCAGCGGAGATGCTTGGGTAGGACAGGCCGAGGATGCCGTCAAACTTGGCAACCACAAAGTTCTGACCAGGTTCATTTGTGCTCAGACCGATCTCCTGGTGGTTGATCTCAATGCCACCAACCTATGGTTCCAAAACCAACCACTGCGATGAGTAGGATGTCAATTCATAGATTGTATTTATACATGTTCAAGCTACAGCCTATATGACTGTAGACAGCAATGTTAAAAAAACAACTACAGCCTCTGTTGTTTCTCATCAAAAATAATGTATATATTTTCACTAATACACATACTTACTACACACTCAAAACTGCCACACAGATCTTCCTACTGAAACTTTCCAATGCAACATCTTTGACTGGTATGTTCTAACTGTGAGACATCAATCTTTGAGGCGTTATTGACATAGTATGCTTTCTAGTAGTACTCTTTCTCAGTCACTAAGAACTAGTCATGTTTGTTCGGTGGGTCTGACTCACATTGACAGTGTCATATCCAAAGGTACCATAGAGGCTTCCGGCTCCGTAGGGCAGGTAGAATCTTTTTCCAATGGCAGAGTAGGTAGAGGACTGCCGGGGGTTGAACTTTGTGTGTGCGTCTGTGAATGACATAGTTTATCTCTGGAGGCATGTCAACACACATGTTATCATGCCTCACAGAGTCTTTTGACACTAATAGTTCTATTATTCAGTTGCGGATTGTTCCTTAAAGACTGAAAATTATAAGTGGCATGCCTGCAAGCACACTAAAACTCTAAGTCCCATGATGTTAAATAATGTAATCTCATGGAAACACGATGACTTGCTCTGCGCGCTTGGCCTATGGGAGCAGATGAGGGATTTAGTCATGTTTATACTCACTGCAAGCCCGAGTGCTACAGTAGATGGAGTCAACCCACAGGTTGGCAGAGCCGGTGTCAAAGAGCACTTGGAAGGACTGGGGGGGTGTTCCAATACTGATGGCGCCATAGTAGGTGGTCTGGGTATTGGAGGTAAAGAAAGAGAAAAACATAATAAAATCAAATGCAAACCCATCAGCTGTGTGTAAAATCGCGTTAAGCTAGGATTTCTTACGTCAGCGTAGTTATTGATGTACATGTTGGCAGAGGTGGAAAACTCATCAGGCTGGTACTTGAGAGCCGGATCATGGTAAGGCAGCTCGATCCCCTTCTCTCTCAGGGCCTCACGCATAGACTTGTGCTTATTCAGAGGGATCCTGAGGAAGAAGGAAGCATAAACATGAAGAAGTGTAACCTGATATAACTATCCTTAGCAACTTTAGCGGTTGATCTTCAAAGTCATTTGCTCTCTCATAAAAAGAAAATTGTTTCTTTTACGAAACAGGCCCATAGAAATACAGAGATGATTTCCTTACCTGACGAGTCCCTCCACAAGCGCCACACAGACCAAAACAGCAACAAGACACTTCATGATACCTCCTGTCCAATACAATACAATTCTGAGTCTTAACAGGCTTTATATATACATGTCCAAGCCCCTATCAGCTAGACTGTTATCAAAACTTCAGTCATATGACGACTCAGACAGGGTGACCCTTACAGGTTTTTTCTAAAAGCTACACACTTCATTTGCATGAATTCAATAAACACTAACTCCAATGAAAGCCACAGAGCCAAATACACATCATATGAATCAAGGACATGATAAGATGTCATCCATTTGGGTATATCCATTGGAATAATGTAGTGGTGACATTAACCCATCAGAGTTTTTGAATTTGACACTTTTCATAGAGTAAATACTTAACTTGTATTTACTGTAATGTATGATAAATGTGTCTATTTTCTGTCTTTCAAGAAGATGATGCTGAGTACTTAGCGCTTACGCTGAATTATTTATACCTTTTTGCAGAATTAAAACAAATCTCTCTATAAAATATAAATATCAACAGCAAGGTCAAGTTTAATAGTTTGTTTCGAACGGTCACTTTCCGCAAATGAAAAATGAATGTTATATCAGGACTTCACTATCAGTAGCACCTTAACCACACAGTTTAATCAAAAGCTCTCGTGTCGTTAGGCTTATCAAAACTTTTAACAGTGTTTGGATTTGATAGCTTTTATTCCTTTGAAAAGCTCAAGGACATTCAATGAAAAATACAACTTATTTATGAATGTTAATTGATGTTATTCTTTGTGCTTTGACTGGACTATAGTAATAATAACATCTCCCCTAAGATTGGCTTTTACTTCTCCTGTATTAGTTGCCAATAGCACCTTGTTTTATATGAAAGCAGACCAGTAGCATGGGGGAACTCTGATTACAGTGCCTTTTAATGACCCCATTTGTTATGCAATTAGATTAGATCAGCACATTCTCATTTTCTCCATGGGACAATTGACATTGTGTACACAGGACCCTTTGTGGCGGTGTGATGTAAGCTTGCATCCGTACGTAATAGGTGGAGTGCCCCTTTCCTATTGGGAAATCTGCAATGCTATAGAGCCGGCCAGCTAACCAATCAGAGCTGACTGGGCTCTGGTTCCAGACAGAGGGTGAAAGAGTATGTTTCAGTGGTGGACACGTACTTTTTCAGACTTCGAGAGGTCACCTTATGTCAGTTTGATGGACATGAATCACAAGTAGGCTGCATGGGATGTCTCAGCAATCTATCAAAACGGGTTTCCACAATCCACCATCCAAGTGTGGAAAACATGTTGACTTTTAAGAAAGCATTGTTACTGGAACCTAGAAAACATCTTTACCTTTCAATGGGGGATTCATATCTGTTTCACACAAAGTCAACCATTAAAGTAGGGGCTAAAGAACGTTGTATTTAGGGTAGGGTTTGGCATAATATCATTAAGATGTGGATAATTCTCCAGGGAATTCATGTACTTCACGTCATTGTGTGTGTGTGTGTGTGTGTGTGTGTGTGTGTGTGTGTGTGTGTGTGTGTGTGTGTGTGTGTGTGTGTGTGTGTGTGTGTGTGTGTGTGTGTGTGTGTGTGTGTGTGTGTGTGTGTGTGTGTGTGTGTGTGTGTGTGTGTGTGTGTGTGTGTAGGAGCTGCAGCTGCACCCATGTTTCAGTGAGCAGGCAGAGAGGGAGAAGGCCCAGCAAGTGAGGCTGGTGAGGGAGCAGGTGGCCTGGGAGGAGGAGCGCTGCAGCATAGCACTCAGAAAAATGCAGGACTGGTACTGGCTGAACACACACACACACACACACACACACACACACACATGCTATTAGATTTGGTAGTTTGACTTTATTGAACCCTTTATTGAAATATATTTTCACGGCAGATCGTAAACAAGGCATTGGACATGAATTTAAAAAATAAAATATAGTAGGAAACAATAAACATATACATATCAACAGTATCTATATCAAAAACACAATATAAAAATACAGATAAAGTTAGAACACACTATAATAGACCATCCCTATGCCAACATAATATAAGCAACGAATACTACCGGTATTAACATTATAAAAGTGTGCAAAGTAATTGCGGCTTTAAAATATTTATTGTTGAGTTTATTATTATTATTAGTAGTAGTAGTATTTACAATAAATAGTGGTGGTAAATGGTGTATTCATTAGATCATTAGAATTATATAAAAACATTATTTTAAAACATCTTACTTGCTGTGTATTTGACTTTAATACAATTTAAAGAAGTGTTGTCTGTCTATGAGTGTAATACTTATCCTTCAATATCTGTGACTGATATTTCGTAACATGTCTGTTAAGTTACTTGTTAATAAGTTTAACTTTAATACGTTTTTACTAAGTTAGGACATTTTGATGGACATTGAGTGGACATGTAGAATGTTAATAAATCCCTTCTTCATAGTCATCAAATCAGACTAACTACCAAATATTTTTACCGGACTGGCATCCTAAGACGTTTTCATAACATGTCCATTCTGCCCCTGTAGGTAGTTAGGAGGTAAAGACATCCAGCCTCCAGAATCAAACCCACCTCTCATGTTTGTTGTCAGGTTCAAAGACTCTCTTTCCAAAGTGGTTACCGTGGTCGCCATCTGCAGCGACCACAGAGTCTCCACCTACAGCCTGCCCACGCTCCCGGAGCATTCAGCGCAGCTCAGACATCAGACGAGGCCCGGCTGGCCTGAGGGAGACGGGGCTGCTGCAGCAGAACATGGAAGACCCAGAGTGGAGCCTGCTAAAGACAGCAGCATGCTGGAAGGTAGGTGTGATGGAAACTTCTGAAGCAATGGAGACGAGACTCAGAGAGACACGGAGAGAGCTGGAACTTGATGGCAAATATTTACGGTTTATTTGGAGCTACGGCCGGAGAATTCACAAGACATGAGGTGACACAGCAGTTGCCAAACCAATTCTGAAGAGCTCTACCCCAGACACATGTATTTAGCTAGTTCTGAGAGAATAATCAACATTGTGTGATGAGTATAAGTGTTGATGACATTGAAAAAGATAAAACATTACCGAATTGTAATTAAAAATGGAAAGTAAAAGGAAATGGTTGCCCCCGCTCTTAAAAATAATAATAAAGCATAATTGATGGGGTCTACTGCTGTGCTGTGCAAATAATTAATGAAGCATTGAAGCTCCTTTCCTGAGAATTTCAAATATTTCCTAAAATGGGATCAATACAAGTTTATATAGTCTAGTTTAATCAAAAGAGAATTTTGACAGCTCTCTTATAATGTCTGCCCCTTGGTTACTCCTGGGTCCTTCAGAGGAGGATCTGCGCCCCCTGGTGGTCGGTTCGGAAGGGGTGAAGCTGGGAGACCGGCAGATGGAGAGGCTCCGTAAGGCTGCAGAGAAAGCTGAACAAGCTCGAGCCAAGATAGAGAAGAGGAAGCAGGAATGGGCCCAACTGTGAGTGTCTAACATCCTTTTAGTTAGATTTATAAATGGCATTATTATTTCTTTGTAGTTATTGTGTTGCCTTTGATGGCTTTTGTAGCTAAAAAAGACAAATTAAAGCCCAGGGAAAGAGGCTAATATTCAGAGTAAAAAAATCCAGAGATTGAAGTTCATAGAATAAGCGAAATTGTTTGATATTAGATCACACATTCATAGGAAAGAAACTTCATAATCATCACTCTATTGTAACTATTGTGATGCTAGTACAAAACTGTGACAGCCTTTTGGTGTCTCAGTTATGCAGAGAAGCCGAGCGAGAACTGCGAGGATCCGCAGGATGTGCAGGCCATCGTCGAAGCCAAAGAGAACCTCGGAGACTTAAAACTGAAGTCAGACAAAGACTTCACGATGCCCAAACACCTGAGGATGAACGCTGAGAGGAAGAGCACAGAGCTGATAGGCCTGGAGAAAAAAGTAGACACACACACATACACACACACACACACACACACACACACACATACACACACATACCATGTATGCATCACTTCAGGGGACATTACATTGACTTACATGCATTTCCTGGAGACTTATCCTAACCTTAACCATAACCAACACATGCCTAACCCTAACCAAGTCTTCACCCTAAAATGAATGATTCCCCTCGTGGGGACCTCCCTTATGTCCCCATGAGGGAGGCAAGTCCCCACACGTGACTGTAACAGATGTAGGTCCCCACAAGGATAGTAATGCTTGGTCACACACACACACACACACACACACACACACACACACACACACACACACACACACACACACAGCACTAGGACACACTTCATCATCATCAGCCATTGTCTTTTTATTGCATATTCTTCCTTTTACTTCTTATGTTTCAATACATATTTTCATTCTATTTGATCTTTTATTGGACATTTTAACTTCAACTTATTACATCTTTATGAATATTTGTAGTTGTATCTTTCTATTGCACATCCTCCCTTTAACTTATATAACTATTTTACATTAATTAGTGATTTTTTTACCATATGCAATTTTCACGATGACTTGTTCTTTGTCTGTTAATACGAATTGTAAATAGACTAATATAAATAAGCGAAGGATTGATGTATGATGGACAGATCCTTAAGTTGCATTCAAAGCAGATTCAGTTAGTGAGTCCATCCGTCCCCACAGATCCGTGAGAAGCAGGCGGAGATGAATCAACGGATCGTGGCGCTGCGGGACTCCAAGGTCCGCCTGGTGTCTCAGCTGCACTCTCAGACTCAGCAGGTCCTGACTGTGCAGCTGTGTCTGCCGGCCCATCTCCACCGCCCTCCACCCACCCTGCCTGCCATACTACCAGAGGAGACCCCCGAGAAGAGGCTGCAGTTCAACCGTGCAACCCTAGAGCGCTACCGTCGTCTGAGGGATCAGAGGTACAGCAGCCCGTTTGATCCAGGTTCAAATCGGAATTACAAAGCAGCAAAACATTTATTGTACACTATTATACTTAGCTGGTTTAAAGGTCTATCTTTAGAGGACATTTCTTAATGTATGACTGTGTATATCAAATGTTTAAACCTGAAACCATTGCTAAGATAATAGAGCATTAG